GTATCGCACCATATCGGGGTATATCGTATCGTGACCCCTCTGTTATGATATGTATCGTATCACCAAATTCTTGCTAATACACAGCCCTACTATTACCAGAAGAGGGAAGAAAGGGTTTGACCTTTTTATGTTTAGATGTTAAGCTGAAGCACAGACAAGGTTTTAATGAAAGGGTTAATCATTAATGTTTGAGCCGTTTGATGTGAGTGAATTTCACCAGAGACCAAATGAACAATCTTAAAAACCATCTGATTTATCCTGTATTCCTTCCCAGACACAGAAGAAACAATGGTTTGTTGTTGTTAGTGTTTGTTGTTAATGTGTGTTCATACGGCACCAGAAAGTGACCTACCTGTCACTTATAGAAACCAAAAAGTCTTTAGGTGTCGAGGAGAAAAGCTCAAAGTTGGCAATGTCCAGCTGTTTGACTTGTATGGGCTCACAGAGCTCAATGACGAACCTGAAGAGACGACAGGTCCATTAAATGTGAAACTCCTCTGAAACAAGACGGTCATGAGCTCAGGGAAACACCTACCAGACTTTGTTACTGCAAGGATTTAACATGTAAAGATCCATATTTTCCATAAGAATAGCTGAAGTACTCTGTAAAAAAGAATAAATGACAGTTAGCATTACCAAATGAAAACTATCTTAAAATGTGCTGAACTGTAGAACAAGCAGGTTTAAAAGATATTTAATGTTACAGAATGAGACGTCCATCCGTGTGTGTGTGTGTGTGTGTGTGTGTGTAACCTTGGCCTCGTTGTTGGCAGACAGGACCTTGGCACCACACTCCACAGAAGCATAATTATTCTTGAAGTTTTTCTGGACCTTCTTCAGTGGGTGGGGGCTGCCACTACTGGAGGTGTGGAGAGTCTGACCTGAATAAAAACATGGAGATCAGGCCCGTTACAGTGAAAGGAATAAAAAGAACAGGGAGACAAATGTCTGTAGTGAGAATCTTGTTAGCTGGTAGGACTCTGGGGGCAGGCCTTGGATAAAGACTCTGAATCAGATCTGAGAAGATTCTGGTAAAACCATCCAGCAGCTGAGGCAGTGTGTTTAGTGTAGGTGGGCTGTTGTTGACCTCAACCAGTGATGTCATCGGGAGGTGGAAGGAATATTTATCAGACCTTTTCAATCCCATATATGATGGCTCTAATTCAAGATATCTGCAATAAATTACTGAATGAAACATATTTCAGATATCAACAACTAAATTATGACTAATCATAAAGTCAATTCGAGATATCTCACTTTTTTTTTTGACTAGTCAGGGGTAGACATGAGGATTTTATTTTCCAGGTTGTCCAGCAGACAACCTGTTGTCCAACAAATATTTGGTTGTCTAAAGCAGGGGGTCTTAACCTTTTTGACCTCYGGGCCCAATTTATTGAATATAAAGTGACACAAGGCCCAGTCAGATATTACCATATGGATCTAAATGATAATTAATATAAACCTTGGTTTAATTTGTATTGTATTTACATTATAACTAAATTAAATACACATAAAACTCAATTCAATAAATAAAATGGTGTTCATAAAATAGATACATTCAAAAATAATTAAAGTAAATGTTTTAAATAAAAAAAACTGTAGGCGGATTGGCGCAGCGTCTGCTGTAAAGCGGGCGCTGTACCGGTCCGTCG